GCAGTATGGATACAATAATGACAATGTAGCCTTCTTTATAACTTGTGAATCTAAGTTTGGTGGGTGTTTGGGGTTTTTAGGTTTTGTTTTTTAAAAAAAAATCCTTTTCTCTTTACAAGATAGCCAAGAAATATTCTGGAGATTTCATCTGACAATAATATAAAGGATTTTCGTAGTTTAAGTCAAGTCAGCATTTGCTTTAACACAAGGGGAAGTTACAGAGATCAGCACTTCCCAGACAGCAACTTCTGAATTGGCCCAAAAAACAGTATTAACAGCAGAATCTACTCGTACACCCGTTACCTACTGTCCAGCTCAGTAGTCTGAGAGCATTGGCAGTGGTTTTGCTGTGAGTTTCATGATGGCCTAATGTTCATGCAGTAAAACAAGAAGGAGTTTACACAAAGTGCAGTTTTGTAAAGCATAATCTGGCAAACTGCAGCAGAGCTTTCTGTCCTGATTATTTGCTGGGAAAAAAAAAAAGTAAGAAAAAGCCATCAGAGCTTGTTTACACCCTGTTGGGCTTGTCCTTTCACCAGGTGATACAGGATAACCAGGATAAAAAAAGATTAGGAGGCAACTTCATGTTTAAGACTTGGTTCACAGAGATGCTTTTAAAAATGAGTGTGTTCCATTTAGCACTAGTGTGCCAGTCCCACACAATGGAAGATCTATTATTTGCTGGCTCTGGGCCAGGAGCCCTGCAGAATGTTATCCTGCTGGCAAAGAACACTGCAGACCCACAGCCTTGTTCCACATTATGTGAAAGTTGTGTGCAGCAGCTGAATAAAGAGGAAAAAAAAGAAATGGAGTAAAATGTTCAGCTAGCAGATGCACAGGCATACACAGAAAATTGCATTTGTTTACAAGTACTCAAATGCCTACTGAAGATACACGTGCATGATGTGAACTTGCTCTGCTCTCCCCCATACCCTTTTAACTCAAAGGCAGCAACGCCTCCCAAAATTTTCTACTGTTAATCAGAACAAAACATTGGCTTGATTTGGCTCTGAGCAACCTGATCTAGTTAAAGATGCCCCTGCTTACCACAGGAGAGTTGGACTAGATGACCTTTAAAGGTCCCTTCCAATCCAACGCATTCTATGTTCTATGATTCGTTTTCCTCTAGCCAATGTCCATGGAATGCCTCCGGCAACCCATGCCTCTGTGCATGTGACAACTGCTCAGTAACTCTCTTAATACACATCTTTACAAATATCTGTATAAGTTCAAAAAGAATAAGGAACCTAGTTCAGCAACATAACTGCCCAAGGATAAAACATTTCCATTTGACTCAAAAAATGCTTTACCAACAAGTCTTGTATTGAATAATGTTAGATTGCTGCTGCAGCACTTACATGATTACTCTGGATACAATACTAAAGCTGAAAGCAAATACCTTTTAGAAATAGCTGCAGACAATAAATAATAACTAAATAAATTTATAGATTTTAATGGCTAAGCAGCTTGTGAAAGTAAAACTCAATGTTGGGAATAGAACAAGGAAAGCATGACTAACATCCAAAAGTATAACCCTTAAACATCACAAACTGGGCAATAATTGCCATCTGTAATCATTCTCTGTCTAGCTAGGTTACCTTGAAAGAAGCAGTAACATTGAAGTTTTAAGAGAGAAGGAGGAACACATTCTAACTTGAAAATTATCACTTATTATTTTTTCTCCTCTTCCTCCAAATAGAGCTGAATCATCTGGCCTGAATTCCTTTCTTCCCCCACAAACCATACAAGATCTATAATATTGCAATAACTTTATTTGCCCAACCTGCAATGCAAGGAGACGCTTCTCCATCAGACCTGCTTCAACAGAACACTTACATCATGAACATTAACTGCTTCCATCATATTTCTAATCTCTCTGGAGCAAGTTTTAAGTCAACATCAGATAGCCTGATTTGCATATTCAGGAAAAAGACCTAACTGAAAGTGTTGGGTAAACCGGTACAAAAAGTCAAGCTTTGCAGTACAACACCATGGATGTTCTGAGAAGTTGCATTCGTTTTCTTCAATTATCCCTGGAGCACCGTGTGCAAGAGCCTGACAGCACAGCTGAAACAACATTACATTGCAGCTTCACTAAATCCTAGTTACACATACAAGATAACTGAAAATAACATATTGCTGCAATGATCTCGCATGATACTAGTCTACCCTTAAACTTGTAAACATGGGAATTGCTGAGGTCTACTTTCCCCTGGAGCCACAGACTAAGGACACTGGTGCCCTCTTCCGGTTTTACTCTTTGGAAACCATCAGAATATAGTATCAGTAATATCTTTACTGTAAATAAATCCACTCTTTGCTTCTGGTTTAATAAAATAAAAACCTCAAGGTCTTTTCTTATATGGCTGAACCCAAGAATATTTTATGTGCTTTTTCAGTAAATAGAGGTGACAATTCATCAAAGCACTGGGACAGGTATATTGTTTCTAAGCATGTGCAAATATGATTTGGAGTGAAGCTGGTTCTGCCACCTCTACACCTCACTCCATTATCAAAGGGAAGAACAACATTGCTATTGCTGCTTGTCTGCCGTCTGTTTTGTCATCCATTTTGTTAATTCCCAGGTATTTTTATCACCCATATAAGGGACATAAAGAACCAATTGGAGGATGATTCAACTTCTGCCTAGATAGGGATAGAGTTTACCGTACTCCAGTGTAAGCAGCTCACAGATTAAGTACCAAATGCCTAATCTGTTGAATATTGTGGGGTTTAGGGCTCTCTCCCATTTTTTCAAGTTATTCACACATCAGAACACAAACAATAACAAACAAACAGAAAAGGCAGCTTGGCTGCAGATGGTGGAAGGAAAAGACTACTTCTTGCCAGAACTCAGTGCCTTACCACGAGCCTGTTCTTTCAGCACTTGGCTCCAGTAATGCTACTCTGTGTACAAATAAAGAGGGTCTGAGCATCTGAAAGGCAAGGACTCCCTTATGGTTTAGCTAGGTATTTACTGCTATTAGCAACAGTGACACTTGGTCATTCTTGGCATATTGCTAAGACAAAAAGAGGAGCACTGAACACAGCCACCCACACAGACCATTAGCTCACACTGACGGTTTTGTCCTGCTCTAACAAGCTCTCCCCTGGACAAATCAGCTTTAAAAGTAAACTAGCCTTAAGGATCATGAAAACAAGCCAAATGGAGACAGACATTTGGCCGGGAACCAGCCCTTGCTCAGCCCACAATTATTTTTCAGTACCAGCACAGCCAAGCTAGACAAGCACAATATAAAACCCCAGGACAGAGCCATCATTTTAGCATCTTCAGGAGGATTAGGGGCAGGACTGCCTGGTCATCTTTATCCTGGTTAGGTTTAGACACAAGTTAATTTGACAAGGGTAGGTATGTACTTCAGGATTAACTGTATCATATGCTTAGTATTTGGTACTCATAAACCTTGTGGATTTAGTAAGACTTTTGCTCAGTATATTCACTATTTCCTTGTGAACAAGGCAATCAAGAAATCCATCACTCCTCACTGTAAGTAAGCATCACAGCTCTGATCTCTGTACTGAGCCACCTACTTTAAAGGAGTTGGCTGCAGGCATGAGTGAAGTTCAAAGCCCACTTTTAAGATATTCATCCACAAAGCATGAAATTCTTGCATGTGGACCATCCATGGATCTATGCCCCCACAATAAAGTAGATACCACAGACATGAGCATGGGATATCTGGTCACATCTGTCATGATCAGTAAATACCAAGAGAGATTCCTTCACTTGACTAGAAAGTGCTTGAAGCCAGAGACCAAGAACTGCACAGGCTAGGTTGAAACTGAATGCTCCTCTCCCTTAAAGGATATTTAAGACAAGTGAATCAGTCCCTACCACTACCTCTATCTGAGAGGAATACAACGGTTTGCATTACTAGGATGATTCACCAGCCTGGACAGAGGGAAGTAAAACCCCAAAGCCAAGAGTCTTATGACACACACTAGTATAATCAGGTTTTAAACATAAAGAGGCTTGTCAGCTGGTATTTGACAGATCTGCCAAATTGCATGTTCACGTCAAGTGTTAAGCATATTCTTGCTTGGAAATACATAATGCCCTGTACAGATTACTTTTAAGAAGTAAGCATTGAAGGTTTTAATCTCTTACAATAAAAGAGCACCTTGGACTTACCTTGTGATTTAGACAAGCCATATATAGTTTTCTACATATTGACCAACATGACTAACTTTTATTTCAAACTACTTTAGACAGGGATTATGTTTAAGAGTACTTGAAGTAATGTTCTGGTTTTTTTAGAAACACTACCTAATAACTGAGTAGTACAAGGGAGTGTAGCAGCTCACAATAAGACAGTTAGTTGTTAATCCTGTCTCATCACTCCCCTCTTTCCTGCCAAAGAGTGAGGATTCTCTATAGACTGCAGAGCACACATGATCAGCCTTCCTCCAGTGGCAGTAGAGGTCCCCTCAGACAGCTGAGCCACAAGACTGCTCAATACCACAAGTATGACACAGCAGTCATCTAGTTCAACTCCATTACCACACAGCTTTTAGCATTGCTGTCTACTGCAGTCTGTCCATCAGTGCTTGGAGTGTTCTTGAGTCTGTCAGCCACAATTTCCCCTTCCTCCAGCTCTCTTCAGAATTACTCCATTCACCTCCATAGAGGGAGGCTTGACTTTTACCTCAACATGGATTGTCTTCTATACACAAGTTCAGAGTTCACAGACCACCTGCATCCAGAAGTTTTTGTTGTGATAAACAAGCTGCAGAAAACAGGTTCTGTTCATGACCACACGACCTTGTCTCACAGAAGATGAAGAAAAAGGTAAGATGCTGTAATAAATCATCCATGTCTATGGAGATGTCAGGTCATGTTTGTTCAAGACACACTTTATCCACTCTAGCTAGTGTAAAAGTCCTGCTCACAATTTTGTAAAAAAAAAAAATTAAAAAAAAATTGCAACCCCTTCTATTCACTACAGATATTAATGGGAGTCAGAAGATTCACAGAAAATAGTGTAATAAAATATTTATTAAAAGTGCTTTCAGTTGTATTAAGATACATTGTCTAATCCTCCTATTTGAAAAGGCATCTAATTAAAAAAAAAATACTAGCTAAAAACCATTCTGAATTCTATGGCTAGACACATGATCTGCAGTGCTCTATTAAATATTAGACCAGCTTTGCTGATTGGGACAAAGTAATCTTCAAGTCCAAAATCCACAGTCTCTATTGTAGAGGAAGAACTGCTGGGGGCTCCAGAAGAGACACCTGCAGGTACCTGAAATAGAAATGCAGTCACTAGAGATATTAGTTTAGCTGACAAGTTCAAAGATGCCATATTCTTGTGCAATACACTAGGGAAGAAAAGAATCACCCTGCAACACTGCAGAAGAATTATCTAATAAATCTGTATACCTATGGATGAACTAATCTTCTCGACAGGCTGACAGAGGCTTCTGTTTCAGGAATAGAAGATGACCACTATGAGAAGTTTGTCAGCTACAGCAGCTGTAGCCCAGTCTGCTGAATCAGAGTCATCCTGTGCTTCCAGCCCTCAAGATACAGAACACTGGCTTCCTCGTTACTTACTTGGAGTCCTTATACTTCTCCTTAATTGCTTGCAGTTGGCCACGGGGAGCATTAAGGCATGCTTTATGCAGATCAGTCAGGCAAGGCACTATGTCACTTAATGAATACCCAGTGAATGCAACAAGTCTTTCCGGCTGGTCAGAGGAGAAAAAAAAAAAAAAAAAAAAAAAACAAACAAAACCAGCATTACTTTACTGTAGGCAACATTCATCTAAAAGATACATATCCTAAAGAGGCAGAAAACAGTTTCACTACATCAGTGCTTACTCTAAATTCTTTAAGCTTGAAAAAAAAATAATTAAAAAAATCAAGTATATCCTGCCATCAGTTTCACTCTAAGTAAGATCTCCTGGTAGCAAGGAAGATGAGAAGCTCCTTCTTCTTTAAGGATGTGGCATCCATCATACTTCCTCTGGTCCTGCTCTCTGCTGAAGCTACTCCTCTGATACACAGCTGAGAGCCCTATCAAGGCTTGCATTAAAGCAGCTACTCAGTGTAATTGCTCCACTCTAGTAGACATGTTCAGTTCACCCTTGCCTCCTAGAAAGCCCCAGACCTGTACTTGGGGGTGAAGTTTTGGAGATTAAAAGACTAAGAAGGTACAGACTTGATACAAGTGACCAAAACAGCAAGGTCCCTCCCATTTCAGAGAAAATGTATGATATTTCAGATAGACTCATTACCTTAGGAACAGCTACTTATCCTAGGATTTCAGCCTTTATAAGCTACTCCTTCTGCTTCTCAGCACAGTCCTAACGATAAAATAAAATGCTTGAGCTACTCATTAACATGCAATTGTTCTTACCCAGAAAGACCTGTTCACTGTGTAGTTTGCTAGACAGTAGGCTGCTGCAGCAATTTGGGAAGGAAAGTACTTCAGAAAAGGATCAGCTTCAAGGAGACTCAGCTCTGCAAGATACTGAACAATAACAAAAAAACTCATAAAAAAACCTCTATAAATTTTTCAAACAGCCCAATACAGCAAGCACCAAAAAAACCCCAAACCTGTCAGCAGTCTCAGTTTCAGTTAAAAACCCATGAGTCATGTGTCTAAGTGGTAGAAATAGCATTCTAGCCCTGTTGATTTTACAGAAGGACCTTCAGCATCTTTCAGTGGGGACAGAAAGATCCCACTTTGTAAAAGCCTATACAATCTATACTGTCTGATTCCATCATCAGCTTTGATGCAATTTTACAGATAGAGACTTAGAAAATTCATTTTTTGTTATTTTTACAAAGACACACTTTCCCCATCCTTTGAGGCTCTTGTTCACATAGGTGGATCTTATCTGGAGGTCAGGGATAAATGTTAAGAAACAGAATTTAAACTCTTTTGGAGAGGAGTTCACTGTACAATTCTATACCCTTTGCAGACAAGTAAGCAGGTCAGATGGTTTTCTATAAGCTTGGGTTACCCTGTTTCTAAGCAGGGTTCTGTGCAGCCACACAGGCATACACTGTGTCATTGTGTAGCAAGATGTAGTACCATCACATCCAGGGCAGACTTCCCATACAGGCACTGTTGAAAAAGCAGATTCCCACCACCTAGCTGCCTATTCGACGCATTACCTCTGAGGAGACTGATTAAACTTAAGGTTCTCCTGAGACATTTATCTAAAAGTCTCAGCACTCAAGCCACCTACTGAAGACAGCAGGCCACAAGACATTCAGTTTTAGGCCTGTTACAGTCCCAAATAAGACTTGGCATGAGAAAAAGAGTATCTTCTGGTAGAGCACAGCATAGTAGCAGAATCTGTTTGCTCAGTGAAATACAAGTGGTTCTGCATTTAGGATCACTTCTCCCCTCTGAATCTTAAAAGGAGGATAATTCATACCCTTGCAAAGTTCTCTGTCCTTCTACAGACTCCATTCCTCTGAAAATACTGAAGGAGAAACTGGTTGATGGTTGGGGCTGTTAGGTCAAAAGCCAACACTTTGAGAAGCAGCTGCTCCATTCTTAGCACCTGCTTCTTTGTGTAGGTATAATCTGTTATATACACAAGTTCATTCACTTCTGGTGGATAGATCTCTTCATATTTCCTGAAAAAAAAAAAAAAGGAAGCCATATTTATCAGCTTGAAGGTTATGATAAAAGAAAGGTTTCTGCTGAATCTATATCAGGATGAGAGCATGACATTATTAAGATCCATGTAGAGCTCTTATTTTAGTCCTTCCTCCAGGCTAGGTAACAATTTAGTTTCAAGTTTGGGAAAAGATTTTTTAGAGGAACTTTGAGTCATCAGTCTAGATAGAAATATACTCACTGTTAGCTCTTCATAATAAAGCCTCTCAGAGATGAAGTCCCAGTAACACAATGCACTCCAGACAAAAACCCACCTACTCCTGCCTATGTTGGTTACCCTGACTACTCAAAGCAGTTCAAGGCTAATTGCAGACTGCAACTGTGAATCTACTACGGCCTTATAGGCTAGTAGCATAACACAGTAGTGTTTTTAGTCCTGTTATTAGTGAGAAAGCTTTGTAACAATAGAGTTCTTCACATCACAAACAATAAACATTTAATTTTGCTAGTGGCAAAGTTGCTAGCCTTGAGACATCATGAGAAGCTACCTACCACTGCAAGCTTCAGTCCTTCAAATTAGACCAAAATACGCAGTCCAAAGTAGGTTTTAGTTCAAGGAGATATCAGGAGATTAAACACTTACGCAGCCAGAAGAATTGCTGCTGTTCCTACAAGCTGCAGCTTCCCTCTGATAACAGACATGCAGGAAAGAAACCTGTCCACGAAGTTAACCGCCAAGTACAAAGTCTCTGTCTGAAGTTTATACTCTTCCCCTACTTCCACCAGCCAGTCTACCAAGATGGCCCGCATTCTTGTTGTGATATCTGGTTGCTTCCTCATGTAGTAGGGCTTAGGTCTGAATCTTACCTGTTAGAGAAAGAGTTGAAGAATCAGGATGCACACCCTGGAGAGAGCCATAAATCGCTGAGCCAATTAAAACTCTTTATAAATACACTAAAAGGAACATAAGTTGCCCTACTATTAATAATTCATTACTACTAATCACAGTTCTAGTGCTAGCAGTATTAGCAGCTAGTAGCATCTCTAGGAAGTAATATTTCTACACTGATGACATAGGAGCTCCTGTGTCAGTAACAGCATAGTAAAAGACCTTCTGGACTATTGACAGCCTTTGCCATAAAGTACATATGAGCAGTTCAGAGAGACTTGAAAATGAACAAATCACATTTTCCCCCCTCTTCCTGTTGGGAGACAACACTTTACTGCTCTGATACAGAAAGGTAGGCAGAACTGCTCCTATAGCAAGAGACCTGTCAGTGAGATCACATCCAACTGCTTAAGTATTTTTGCAGCATTCAATTCCCATCTGCAAGAATTCAGCAGCTCTAAGAGCCAAGATATGTACCAACAGTAAGGAATTTCAGGGACACAGTAATCCTGAAAGATCTCATCACTGTGTAGGTGCTGCCTTGAGAGATGCTTTTAACACTTTCTCTCCTTTGTAGTTCAATGACAGCCTTGGGTTATCCTGGGACATCTTTGCAGCACAGCAGCCCATCACATCTATATGCTTGTTGAAAACTACTCACTTCAGCCTCCCGGAGGTAGTGATGGATATCTTCTGCATACTCTCCCACAGTCAGAGTTACGGCATCACTCATGTGATCCTCAGGCTGAGACTGGAAAGATGTGTCCACTACCATAGGAGATCCTAACAGGTAAGAGGAGGCAGCAAGGCATTTATGTAATTAGCCTTTTCACCTTCTCCTGCTTTCTAGCACAGAAGCATTTTGCCTCATGTAGACACAATTCAAGTTACCTCAAAGTGTTCTAGGCTGTAACATAAGCTGCTTCACTAGCTTACCAGCACTACAATTCATAATCACCCTACACATATCTGAGCTACAGATACTATCTGAGTAGTAACAGGAGTTACCTGTACTCAGATCCAGCAATAAGTGAATACTGGATGTCATGGCACTAGTATCCAGTTCACACAGGCTTGATTCCAGCTCTTCGGCTACTTGGCAGCTGTAGTTTTCTTTCTGCTCTGGATCATCTACATAGATAGCAAACCTTTGCTTTGATGAAGTATTGACCGTGCGATTGGGTAACTCATCTTTTCCAGACGAAGTGAAGGCATTTTCTGAGCCAGAGAAGCATCTGATAACAGCAGCACCCTGAAATAGAACATGCAACAATGCTGTGGGAGGGCAACTCAGGAAGAAAACAACAGTATCACTTGTTTTAGAACAGAAAAACACTTTCTCTGCCTATCAGACACCAATAATGAAAGTTTACTGGAAAAAAAAACCCTAACAGCTACAGCTGGTGCCTCAGAAGTATCACTTGTTGTTGTCTTGCTGCAATAGACACCTCACGGAAAGATTGAGGTGTAGCAAAAAGTCCAGAAACAGAGAATAGACTCATCTCCAGAGTCCACCACCAAGCAGAATGAGAAGAGAGTGCTGCTGGGTTCTGGTGGGCCTGGCAAGTGCAGAGTCAGCTCCACATTCAGTTCTGGCAAGGAGCAAGTGCTTTCAAGTGGAGCAAATTAAAGTAACAAAAGGAAGCACTCAGGCACCGTCACAGGCTTAGAAGGGACTTCACCTGTGAGAAGGTATTTTGAGTTACAAACTAAAGTCTGAACTTCTGAGTTCAAGCATCACAACTACACAACGTGTAATCAGGCCACACAACCTGCTATGAGTAAGGCATCAACTGAGATAGGGTCTTTACACAGTCCCAACCAAGAGGGGTTTGTGTACAGGTAATAGCTGCTGGTTTAGGTTGTAAATCAGTAGGTGTAAATCAGTACAGCAACACTTTTTGCTGCATCAGCTGACTCCAGGAGGGCCCATGGAACAGAAATGCGGACAAGGACCCTGCTGAGAACATTAGCTTCTCGAAGACTCCGGCACCCTGAAAGGAGTACGGCCAGCTGCACGACAACGGGACCCTGAGCATCAGTGAACAGATCTTTCATAAACCACACTTTAGAGGGTAACTGCCCAAATAAAGTCTCACCGAGTCTCCCTTCCCTCCAGGATGGATTACGTGTTCAAAGTATTTCCACGGAGAAGCGTCTGTAGACTAGGACCGAGCAATTACCAGCAGCGTTTCTCGGGAAACTCACGCTCATTAACTGGAGCCCGGTTTAGCTACTTACCCCATCACTCCCAGCGCCT